TTGTACTGCAATTGTTCCCATGGAGCCTTGACAACCTGTCATTCAGAGGGTTGATCATATGGCATTTCTTAATGTTCACCTTATCCACTTCACAGCACTGAATTGCTCCAGAGGTGAACAGGTATTTGTGTGTGCTATAAACCATGCTATTGTCCCTTTTTCTCAACAGACTTCCAGGGGAATCTGGGGGACGATGATACAGCGTTTAATGGAAGCATTAGGTTTTATCATTTAGGCATGAGAGAAAACTCTATTATCAAGTATATAGCTCATTGTTACCAGGAATAGCTCAGTTTGTAATCCTCTATAGCTAGGTGGCTTTATCTCTGTCTGCCTCATAACCTCATAGTCAGACTTTAAAGTTATATTGTTACAAGCCACACACTGACTACTAGGGCTGCGCAAAATGGCACTGTTCCATTCCGACTTCAGTTTCGAGGTCTGGACGGAACAGTGTTTCCTATCGAATATATCACTACATACACTATATATATATAGATATATCTCTATATCTATATATATATATATATATCACTATAGCTGGGCTGCTTCCCTGCCCCCTGCCCAATCTAGCACGGGGGGTGGAGCGGCAGCCCAGCGGGGCTAACTCCTTGCCCCCTGCCGGATCTTGCGCCAGGGATGGGTAGTCAGCCCAGCTGAACTGACTTCCCATCCCCAGCACTATGTTCAAAATGTTTCCATTTTCAAAACATTTCAACTAACCTTGTTTTGTTTCGAGGCTATTTCGATGGCCTTTGTTTCATTTCGATTTTGCTGTTTCGACCTCAAAATGAGTCAAAACAGTGTCGAAACAGCCGTCGAAATTTTGCACAGCCCTACTGATTACATGGTTAAGACTGACATATGCAATGGGTGTCATTCCCAACTGTTTGTTTCTCTGTTTTTATACTTACATTTGAATTTATTGCAACTAAAAAATAAAATCCTGATCTGTCAATTCAAAATTAACCAGTCTCTTCAGCCAGACTTCTAAATCACTGGGGTATGAGTCTGTGCTAAGTCTCTAGTAGCATAAGAGGTACAACACACAAGGACCAGCCAGGGATATGGAGTTAAAGTGGATTTAAGTTATGGCAGCCTTCTTGGGTAGCCTTGTGAGCAGG